GTGTGTGTGTGATGCTAATGTGAAAAGGTGCAGTAAATATTAAAAGCTTGAAAAGTAAACCTGCGTAAAAACCTGACAGGCGAGACTTTCAGTCCTGACGTGTAATATTTTCAAGTGTGAGTGGCTGTCAGCTGTGTGTGTGTGTGTGTGTGTGTGTGTGTGTGTGTGTGTGTGTGTTATAGATAATAAAATCCCAGGCTCCTGACATCAGCTGTCTCACAGGTGGGAAGTCTGACAGCCTCAGATCTGAAAGAGAGAACAAAAGAAAAAACCCATTAAATAAAAATAAATGGCTTTTGCTTAATTGTTCTACTTAGTGTCTGGGAATTATATATTTAAAAAAAATTAAAAAAAACATGCTCAGATTTAAGAGCCAGGTTTCATTTGACACTTCAGAAACAGGTCTGATCACAGTTCAACTGAACCTGGTGTCAAACCGAGTTTCACATGTAAACGTCAGCGCATGTGCAGCATCAAATCACGGGAGCAGGACACAAAGCGAGAAACCGAAGCGTCACGTAAAACTTCCACACCGTGACTCCCGGAGCGACCGTGCTGCTCCGGGAGTCACGTGTTGATTCGTGCTCGGATCACACAGCAGGGTGAGGGTTAGCGACCTCGCCGCGGGTTTTAGCTGCTCAGACGCAGCTTCGCGTTTAAGCTAGCTGACGGTGGAGTGGAGGTCCGAGCTGCCACCTTCAAACAGCTGCAGAGGAGCGACTGTCGCTGCTGCGCCGCGGCCGCCGCTCGGTTCGCCCCCTCCGGCCACTCGCCCCGCGACTCCCCGCCTCCGCGCTCACCGTGTGCTCACCGTGATGCAGCTTCTTCGCGGGGACTCTGTCGCCATTTCTCTCCGGGCTCCGCCGCAGCTCCGTCCTCCGGGAGGAAGTCCTTTGAAATTTGGCGCGCCCAGTCCGGGGGCTTCCTTGCTGCGAGGCCCTGCGTCACTTCCCGCCCCGCCCTGATTGGCTGACGGCCAGGGCGCCTTCAGCGGGACCAGGAAGTGAAGCCGGAAGAAAGCGGGGCCGGAAGTGGAGGAGGATAAAAATAAATGTCATGGTGGAAGAAGCGGTCAAATCTTTTATTTGAGCAATGATTGAGTCTATGGACTCCTCCACATTTAAAACACGGTGGCCCTGAAGTGCGGGACAAACGGGAAAACACAAGAACAAATCACCAAACCACAAAAACATAGGAGAGCAAATAACAACATAATAATAACAAGACAAACGAGAAAACAAAACTAAACAGCAAATACAGAAAAATTATAAAAACAAGAAATAAATATATCAAGAAAACAAATAGCAAACAAAATAACAAGTTTCATTATTTGTTGTTGTGTATTGTCCACCACAATATAAATATCCATGCCTCCAAAAGTAAAACCAAACCATCTTGACTGCCCCCTGGTGGCTGGAAGCCCTAAAAATTAGAAGTCAGAATTTAAACACATTCCTTTCTACTTATTTTTGCTACAGATCTGCCCTTAATCACTTTTTGTCCGACCTGTGTGATATGAGTTAAAAATACAGAAATAAATTCATCTCATACATCTTGCTGCTGTGATATTGCAAGTCGAGGACTCTTAAGATTTTTTTTTTTTTTTTTTTTTTTCCTGGCATGTAACACTTGATTTTCTAAACTTGAAATGGAAACAGCATCACCACAAAAGAACAAACCTTTTCATTCACTCTGTTGAAAATGATTTTAATTGCAACAATTCATTCGATACAGAAAAGAGAGAAGCTTTACAAAAGTCTGTGCAGGATGCCAAAAGGTCTTATTGGTATATAAATCATTATTGTTTCATGTTCATGACAGAGCAGTGAAGTATTGTAAAAGTCAATGATTCACTCAGATTTGGAAAATGATCAAATGGAATCTGATGTGGTAAGTTTGAAGAAGACTTTTGAAATGAAATCAACCGGTACAAATACAAACCTGAATGCAAACAAACCAGTGACCAGAGCAGAATTTCTGACATTTAAAAAAGTTTGGTTAAATCAAATTATCTCACTCTCAGTGAGGAATACACACAGGTTTACTGATTGATTCAACTGAATCAAAACTCATGACACAGGAACAACACACAGTATAAAGAAAAATATATAGAGCCTGAATATAAAAAAGCAAATTCTCCTAACACCAGTATATTCATTTAACATTCACTATCCTTATCATCGCAGAAATCAAACAGATACTACTGAATTATAGAAAATACCATAATTTCTATAAAGTACAAAATCGAGTAAAAAGTAAAGGTGATGTTTTTTCTAATGTAAAAATAGTTTAGCTGAATTTTTCTGCAGAAGCTACAGCAGGAATATTGACAATGACAATACTTCACCTGCCTGAGTCATGGGTTAAAACCAACATTCAGCCTCGAGCCACCCTGAAGCTGTGGTTTCCCAAAACCTAACCTAAGTCACAATGAAGAATGTTTATGTTCTTAATGTCGGGATTTCATAGAAACTGTAGATCAACAATAACTTAGAGGAATATATCATGTGCATTAAAACATTTATTTTGAACTGCAGCTCCATGGTTCAGATGTGGAGTTTAGGGAAGAATACTAGCGACGCTCAAAAGTCAAATTGCGTTTTCAAACAGAAATGTTGACAGAACCTAACGGAGGCTCCTTGTTCCATATTTTACATTTAGCATATATTGTTTTGCAACGTCCGACAAGGCCCGACAAGTCCCCTTCATTTCAAATAAACTGCAAAAAAATGCATTTATGAACCAGATTTTTTTCCCTCAAGATCCATTGATTATTCTCTGGGAAATTGGTGAAAACGTTAAAAAATAAATGTTACAGAAAGTTAATTTTAAAAAGTCTATTTGGTGGATTTTGAGCAATCCTGTTCCCAAACAAAAAAACAGACAGGGGTGAACACATAATCAGAGAAATTACAATTTTTAAGCTGAACCACTGATCGGTGTTTTTTAGTGTTGGGACGATCATGGGAAACCAGAGTCAGACACGAGGATGGACTCAGCAGGCCAGCTGTACAGAAAAGTGCAATTCATATTATTACTATAATGTTTAACTATCATCATCACGCCTGCTGTCCTACAAGCAATCTACAGGTCAGCATGCTGCAGTTACAGAAAGTCTTAGGTTTACACTGGGACAGCAGATATATGCTATAATATCAGAGTAAGTATTTTGGTGCTAAATGTGATGCTACAAAAAGTTCTCACCATGAAATGTAATCGAGCATGTTCATTCATTCATTCGAAGGAAGTGTGATTATTTTATTTTCCAGCAAATGCACTTGGGATGTCGTACATCGATGTCCCAGAGCAAACACACTGATTATATGAAAAGTATATAGTGATTATACGGTTTTTCCCTTTTATAAAAACTTTCTTTAGTGCTGGGAGTGTGACGGTGGAGACAGATGCATGATAATAAAACATTGTTCAAGCAGACGGGATGCATTGCATGTCAGTTCACAAAATAGCCCAGAGTAAAAGTGCAGCTGAGCTGGGACCAGTTTGTCCAGAAGAATATGTACATGTTTTAAAAATGCTCTTACTATAAAAGACTGTGCTCGAAGAGACAGAGATAGTTTTCAATGAATCCGTCGTGAATCATAGATAAGACTAAATTCAAATATAACTGAGCACAGGAGAAGCCACAGATTTGCAGAAGAGTGAATAGAAATGAATTGATATGTGTCGGAAACTGCGCTCGACAGTTCTTCTGATATTTTGTGCGAAAGCAAATTTCTATTGTGAGCAAAGGTATTAGAGGCGCAGACATCGTTTCATGGTTTTTCATTCTTTTCTTTTAAATTACGGAGAACAGTAGATTAACAGACGAGCGAATCCACCAGAAGTGAAAGGACATTATATCAAATCTCCTGCTGCCCACACACGGATCAGCACTTCTGTTCTGGGTCTTTGAGAATGAGCAGCTGCGATGTGAAATGAAACAGAAAACATCAGAGCGAAATCTGAATGACAGAAATGAAATCCTTTCACCAAGCTCACATCAGCTGTGATTGCCTGAAGCTACAGTTTTATTATTCCCGCAGACACCAGACAGAAATCTCCTGTCACAATTCAAAGCTAAAAAAAGTGTCTTTCAAACAAGGTTTTATAACATATTTTTAGGATGACACATCTGATCTTCACTTAAAGAAAGAAAGATATATTCACTGAGGCAAGGCGCGTAACTTTTACATATGGAAGCAGCCTCGCCAGTTTCTATAGTTCTGTTTCACAAAGATCGTAAATCAACTGTTGCCATCTTCACTTCACTCTAACATGAATCTGGCTTCACTTTCGGGGAGCCGTCATGTCGTCCACCTCTATATACAGTCAAGATCATCTTGATTGCCCCCTGGTGGCTGGCTGCAGTATAGGGCATTAACCCCCAACTCCTCCCTTCTAGCAGATGGGACATGGACCACACAAAAAAAAAAATCTATGTATATGTGAAATAAATGTTTCTCAAACGTGGTTTCTGTGATTTGAAGTAGTTCTTATGACACTAATGTACTCAAGCATTCATGTTTCTGATAAGTTTGGTTTTAATGAGATATTTGACGATAAAAAAATGAGGTGAAGTGTTTACAGCTTTTTATGAAATCTGGGTATTGTCATATTTGTGCTGTAATAATTGTGTAAGTGTAGTATTCATATTTACTTCGTGTCAGTTCTTTACTTACCACTGTGGACACGGGGTTAAAGGATCGATGCAGCTCTTTGTATAAAATCTTGCATAAGCCTTGCAGTAAAAACACATTAGTATTTCCACATTATAAACATGCATATAATATATTTAAATATATACAACAGCGGGGAAAGAGGATGATAAAGAGTGATGTGGTTGAAGTGCTATGTCAGATTCCTCTCTCCGCCCTGTGCATGTTAGAGATGTTTCAGTGCCATTGTCATTAATATTGCTTTAGATGTAAATTCAAATCCTTTGACCATAAACTTGGAGCTTATTCAAATCGACCTGATACAAACAGTCAGATGTGGGAGTATGCATATATTTGTGTGTAACATGAAAGCGCTGCCTTATAAAATAGCCATATAAAACCAGTCATTCAGCGACATGTTAGTATGCAAGTCATTTTACACCCTCATAGTAACTCAAACTACAACCCACACTGTGATCGCCTGTGTTGACACTTGTGCTTTTCTTTTCCAGACATCAGACACGTCTCTGTGTGCCGAGCTCAACTCAGAGGTAAAGGTCGTAATTCAATCGCACAGATTGACATCATCTCATGTACAGCGTGAGGTAGCCGCACTGCGAATGCTAAATGCTAATAGTGACATCTAAATTGGATCGAGTCCGGCGCCCCGTTGTGATGGAAACCACTGGCGCTTGGTGTGTTTTGGCAGATGAAGCATGTGATGAATGTCGCCATGGATACCACCCCGCTTCCCCCCAAAGGTGCTGTGCTCTTTAAGTGCGCAGGGGCTCAATGTAAGTACCTCAGATGGTTTGACCCTGTGCAGGAGAGGACGAGCTTGAACGGCGTTTCTTCGCCAGCGTGAGATGTCTCGCTTTTGTTCTGTGAAACGTCTTTGGTGTATATCAGCTTCCTGCGACCTGAATTAGCCTCCATCTACAGCGAGATAAGAGAAATAATTAGTCAAAAGCAGTTGTTAGCACTGTGGGAGCTTACTTTAATTGAGTCAGTCCGCACTTCACTTCAAATATGTTTGAACTTGTGCCACTGTTTGCTCTCTCATCTCATCTGTACTTCTTTGGTCCGTCACTTGTGTCTTTTCTTTCTTTACTTTCCAACAAAATGTTTCTGTTGTCGTCTGCAAAAACAAGTGAAACAAAAAAGGCAGGACTACAGATACAAATATGCAGCATGACCTGATGACTTCTTGCCTTTAATAAATATGGGGGTAGCTGAATATATTTAAAAGAGACACACATGATGCTTTTCACTGTTTCTCTCCTCGTGTGTTATACAGGTTTTTTTGTAAATGTTAAAGTTAAAGTGTCAGGTCGACACTCGAGGAAATTTAAATCATAAATCTGAAGACGAGCAGAATGTGTCTCCTTTAAATTGAAGTGGTTGTAAACATGTGACCTTTCTATAGTATGCACATGACATACTACTGCTGGTACAGTCAATAGTAATATGTATTGCTGAACTATATGAGGGTTTTAGATTCATAGAGCACCACGAGTAAAAGTGTGGACTAGCCTTTATGAGTTATTGATATTACTTTAACCATCAGCTCAGGATTTATATGCTCGGGTAATGTCCTCCTCTTTTTCATTTTCTATTTTTCACTGGCTGAATGGACTCATGTCTCCATGCAGTGCACTGAATGTAAAATATTGTCGGTTGGCTTTGTAAGAAACTCCCCCAGCGCACACACTCGCACACCTCTCATAATCACATTTCAGTCTCATTCTGTCAGGGCTGTATAGGCTGCGTCGTTATCACAGATTGATCCGTCCTCCCAGTCTTCTTCATTTTGGAAAACAACCAGGCTACAATAATCAGAGCTCCATGCGATGGATGTGGGCCGAGATGAAAATAGGAGGCTTTAAATCATGCAAGCCATTTATCTGTTCCCCTGAACGGCACCCTGTTCCATCACTGTCGTCTCTTTTATCACCGCTCCTCACTCTAAATATAAAGGTGTCCGTGAATCTGTCCGTCTGCAAAGAGGCCAAGAATCCAATTAAGCTCTCAAGAACTGTTCCAAAAGTCCTGGAAGTGTTCTCCCCCAGTTCTGCTTTGCTCTGAAGGGGGTTGTGACAACTCCACCGGGATGAAGAAACAAAAACAGATGAGGCTCGTTTCCACAGTTTGCTGTCGTTCCTCTGGAAGATTTCTCTGGCGCTTCATCATTAGTGTGAGTGAGATGTGGTGGATGTTTCCACTGGGTTTTTTTATGTCTTAAAAATGCAACCATCACAGCATCAGAAAAAATACTGTCAGAGGCAACACATTCAGATTTGCCTCAAACGGGGGAGATGGATTGTTCCGTTGATGTTGGTCGCCTTGGTCTTCGAAAGTAGCGTCAGATTTCTTCAACCTGTCAAACTGTAACCCGTAATTTTTTCGGACAACCTTTTCGACAGGAGTCGAGATCCTTTGCTCCCATTTAAGTGCTGAGTGTTTTAACCTCCTCACATCATCGCAACTTATTTTTAGAGCCTTCAGGCCGTTCATGTTTGCATGCAGTCACTCTAGCATCAGCATTGTCCTGCAGATCTCAACTATGAATCTACTCTAATGTTTAATTTAAATGCATGCATGTTCCATGTGCACAAAATTGCTTTGTTCTTCTTTTGATAGAGCTTGGGTTTACCTTTTGCATCTAATATTTCAGTGCATAGTGCATTTAATTTTGCATTGTGCATTTTGTGCAACTTTCTTTTTATTATTTTTATCCTGGGCTGCACTGACATCCAGGTCCAAGGATGAATATATTTTGTCTGTGATGTTTGCAGTGCAGTGATCGTGGACTCGGTGGTGGTTATATGATAAGGTTCTCTTAAACACAGAGCCAGAAGTGGATGTCATCAGTGTATGAGGAGATATGAGATTAAAAAACATTGTGGTCGATCCTCTCAGGTGCTCGAAGCTGATTCCTCTTTCTGCCCAGCTTCTCCGCTTTCAGCCCCTTCGTCTGTCTTGGCTGAAGATGATCCAGCAGTGCCCCTGGAGGCTGTTCCCGGCGATGCAGCACCACACAGGCTGCCATCAGGGGTCGCAGCTGCAATTGAGCGAGGATTGGAGGCAGGGCTTTTGCTCATGGCAGAGTCAGGGGTCTGGCTGGCACTGAGGTCGCCATCAGGGACGAGAGTGGCCTCTTGGCTCTCTGACTGAACTCCACTGGTCATGGCTGTCGGAGAAACAGCGCTCAGGAGGGGTTTGTGGGAGGCGTAGGTCATCGCAGCATCAGTGTCGCTGTCTAGCGGGAGACCGGAGCCGGTGAACTCCACTCCAGAGTCGCTCATCTCCAGAAAGTTGTCTGAGCTGAGAGCATGGTAGCGGCCTGGTTTGGACACCTCAAGGCCCTGTGACAAAAGTGGAAAGAGGAGGAGATAAGACCGGAGAAGAGGTGAAGGTCAAAGAAGATGAAAAGAAAAGGGAATGTGAATTAAGAGGAGGAAGGACACAAAGCAAGATTAAAGAAAAAGAGAAAACAGGACGAAGGTATAGAGGAGAAGGCGATTGTTAAGTCATAGAAGAGGTTAGCGGAAATACAGAAACAAAGAGAAGAAAGAAATGGAGTGTGGGGGAAGGTGGAAATTGAGTGGAAGAACAAGAACAGAGAGGAGATGGAGGAGGGAGGTAGGATGGAGAAAGGGAAGGAGAGGAAGTGGTAAAAATTGAGGTCAGTGAAAAAGCAACATGAATAATTCATGCACATGTTTCTAGGATCATATTTTACCTTCCACTAACATACCAACACCACTAATGTTCCTGGTTTCATGGAGACACATTGTAAAGGACACAGGAAGAAAATCTAAACTAAATGTATACATGAGGTTATGGATGAGACCACATTTCATTACGTACAGTGGATAAAGTGTATGCTGTTGGCTGTATGCTTTAATTTTGTATGTGTGTTTATATACTATCAGTACTGCTCCACTGACAGTGTGCTGACTGACTGCGTCTCTGCCGGTGACGCCAAACCCTCAGCACGACTCCTCAGAGGGTCATTAACATCGCCCAGAAGATCATCGGCTGCTCACTGCACTCTGTGGTGAACTTAGTGAGCTCCTGCTGCCTCAGCAGAGCTGCCAACATAATGAAAGACCCGTCCCACCCCGGACATCTTCCGTTTGACCTGCTGCCCTCTGGGAGGCGCTTCGGGGCTGTCATATCTCCGACAGACAGACAAACAGAGAGGAGCTTATAACCCAGAGCCACAAGAGCACAGTAAGCTGCCAAACACTGACTCTGACTGTTTGAGATCCATGTTACTATCGGTACGATACCTTCAGGTACATTTACAGAATGATACAGATGTTTACATTCCAGCTGCATCTCATATGAACGTATATATTCTAAACTGCACAACTACTGCACCACTGTTACTCAGCAAACTTGTAATATCTCAACTTCTCTTTTCTATCAGGGTCATGGATTATTTATTTTTGGATCTATGAACTATTTTTGGATCGCTTCTGGATGCTCTGCGCGTGTGTGTGTGTGTGTGTGTGTGTGTGTGTGTGTGTACTCGACCGTCTGCTGCCAACTCATTCAACCACCTGCATTTCATTCATCAGTCAAATGCTGCCGTATAAAAAGAACCGGTGCTTTTAACATAATTTGGAGAATGCGTCTGTGCAGCAGCGATCGAGGTGCGGAGCCGCGGAATCAAGGTTTGGCCAACATACAAGCTTGACCAATCACAACGATGGGACGATGGACGTGACCTGGGTTTTATGATATATACTGCAGCCAGCCACAAGGGGGCGATCAAAATGAGTTGGCTTCACTTTAGTTCCAGCACTGACCTTGATGGTGACCTCTGTGCTCTCCGAGGGCTTATCACACACGGACTGCGTCAGAGATTCCTCTGTGAACCTGGTGTACACCTCATGGACCACCTGCAGATCCACACACACACACACACACACTCTTGTTAAAATATGGCCACAGCAGTGTAGCATCCCGGCAGCTGTGGTACTTCATCCAACTATTGATCAAAAACACATGAAAACTTCTTGAGAGGACACACACACACACACACACACACACACACACACACACACACTAACAGGGTAAGAAAGCTCTTAATTACATACACACATAAGACATGGAACTTGTATGACATGACTGAAAGACGAGCAATGAGGCTGGAGGTTGAGAGGAGGCAGAGCCGAGCCGGGTCTTACAAAAATGTCGGGGCTTAGGAACTGCAGGAAAGATTTGTGGAGGCCGGAGGTCCAAAGAATAAATGTGGGAGAGGAAAAGATGAAGGGTTGAGGTGGATTCATGAATGAGAGGCAGAGAATGAGTAGAGCATGAAAGGATGTGGGTAGGGATGAGGAAAGAATGATGAATAGAAGTGAGTAGGGAAGAGAAAGGGGGGATGAAGGGATGAGGAGAGGAGGATGAAGGCATGCAGGTAAGAATGAGGGAAGAAGGATGAAAGGACAGGGGGAGAGGATGAAGGGATGCAGGTTTGGGATGATTAAAGTAGTAAATTAAATCATTCTGTGTGCTCGCAGGGAGCACTAATGTGGATTATATTTCGGTGGGTGAGAAATTGTGAGGAGGAGAGAGTGACAACACAGGAGTGAAGGATTGAGAGACAGAAAGAGAAGACGTGAGGCAGCTGATACAGATGCGAAGAGAAGAGGCAGGGAGGGAGAGAGATGATAAAGAGACAGAGAGGGAGGATTGATCTGAGTTTCATGTCGGCCTCTCAGGTTAAGTTCCGGCCGCCGACATCGGCTCACATGTGTTGTGTGTGTGTTCTAAGATCTACGAGGAAATCCATAACCTGTCCGATCGACCGACGCCAAGGGAAACTGCCGTCATCTCAACCTTAGTCCACACACAGAGAGACACACACACGATAATTGGAACACCTATGCACATACATCGCAGTATAATCACTTAAAAACACGTGAGGACACACAAACACACATGTCTAATACAGACACATACAATGAGCGAGACATTTATCCCACATTGATCAGTGGTAATGGAAAACTCACACGGTTTTTATTTGAAGTTACGAATCTTCCAGTGTTTTTACCAGAATTAATCACAGACGTCAGTGATCCCCAGGCTTTTCACTTATCCAGTCAAATATTTAAACATCTGTTCCATCTGCTAATGTGGAGGAGGAGGGGTTTATGACCTACACTGCAGCAAGCCACCAGGGGGCGATCCATATACATTGATATACATATATATATATATATATATATATATATGTATATATGCAAACAGAATATGTTTTATGTTAGTAAACCCAGAAAATAAAGTTTGCCCGGTGTAATAATTAATAACTGCTAACTGCTTAAGTTAAGAGCTGGAAGAATCATGATTAGTCACTGAAATGTGAGTTATGGTGTATTTTGGTAACTAACAACAATAAATGGGAATAAATGTAAAAATAATGTTATAGTACACAGTGTTTCAGGTCACGTGTTGATTGATTTGTTCGCATTACTAAAAAAACTACAACACAGACACACAACATTAAATCCACAGAAACTAGACACAGACATAAGAAGCACTGACAACACACCCACAGACTTCCTGGGCACGTAGTTGATCACAACTCTCAAGGAAACAGCTGAGAATAAAGACATTTCTCACACCTGACCGAGCTCATCGAAGCAAAATAGTGTTTACAATTCTGCTCTAGCATATAAATGGTCTCATCTGTTTCAACTAAGCTCAAGAAAAGAAGAAGACTGATGCATGTTGACGTTGGTTGACCCTCGCTTATACACCAACCAAAGAAGAAGAACTAAACTTACACTGATATCCATCTTCTTTTGTATGTTTACAAATACACAGACTAACAATGATTTTCGAAAACCCTTGGTGTCCATTCATTTGAATATAATGTGAAAAACTTAACTCATTACAACTGTTCTCAGTTGTTTTAATGTGGAAAATACCAACATTCTGATTTTAAAAGTCATTGACCTCATGGCACTTAAAGGAGACATATTCTGCTCACATCCAGGTTGATAATTTGAATTTGTACTATTATCTGTCCACTGCTGCAGCTCCTTTTGTCATCCTCTGTCAGAAACGCTTTGCTTCAACGGGACGACTGACGTGGTGTTTCAGGAGCTTCAGTGTTTTCTGCGGGGGAGAGGAGCTCCCTTTACCACGGACTTTGCAGAACTTATACATTCACACAATAAACTATATCACACATTAGAGGAATGAAACCTTGAAAAAGCATCATATGTCTCCTTTAAAACAATAAAACACTGTATAAACTTGCATCCTACATTAATTCTCCACCACAGCTCGGCCACGTGATTATTCTAAAGTCTGTCAGGATCACGGACACAGTTTGTCCCAAGTCATGTTGCCAGATTCACTTGAAGTCATCCATTGACTTTGAGTCAAATGAGGTCTCTGATCAACTTCTGCTTGTTCATCACGAGCAGTTTCTCCTCAGTGTCCAGGATTTATCTAATGTGGCGCTGCTCAGTATCCTTGATTCATTTAGATCAACTACAAGCACCGGAGTTCAGAAAATACTGACAACACATTTCTGAAACTGTCACAAGCAGCAAGTTGATCAATGAACTTATTTGTCACAAACGCAGCACGTTTCTCTACACACCAATATAAAGAGGGAGGTTCAGGGGGAAAGGAGGCAGGAACACAATTCTCTCACCAAGAAGAGGCTCCGTTTGAGGCTCCTTAAAGCAAGAGGGAGACACGTAACCACAGGCAACAGCGTTAGCTGGGCCACCAATCATCACTGAGCCGGGAGGCCTCATTTCCAACAGCAGTATTTAGAATTCACTCAACAGTTGTGAAATTGAAAGAGGAACGTCACATAAACATCAGAAACAGGACAAACATTTATCATTTCAGACACAAAGTAAAAAAAAAGAGAAACAGGTAACATTAATGTGACTTCACAGACAAATACTAAAGAAAATGTTCAGCATCAGTCTACACTGATAACTGAAATTACATTACATCAATTACAGCACATGATTTCTATTTTTCAGCTGCAGACGAGTTTTGGAAGTCGCTGACAAAAGCTCCAGATTGGAGCCAGGTAGCTGTGTGACAACTCCTCAAAGATACGTTTCAAGTGGATCACGACATGTTGCACACTCGGACTCGGTGGCAAACTTAATATCTCGATGAGTCAGTGATAACTGCAGGGTCGGGCTCAGTCAGCTTTTTTCTCTGGCTCAGACGAGTTTGAGTCATTGCCGCCGTCTCATCATCATCGTCCACTTTCAGTCTTTTCGGGCTGTTTCACAGTCATGTGACCGCCGTGGGCGTTTTTAATTGGTTCATAAATTCAATCAGATTAAACGATCTTTTGATGGGACCACTGCTTCGGTAGGAAGGGGTTCACTGTCAGCTCAGTGATTTAGATTTCTAATGAAACAGTCATCATTTTAGAACAGGAACGCTCTTCAAGATAATTTAGTTTGTTTAAATTAGAAGTCCAATGGCAAATTAGGCCCACTTGCTTTAATGGCATCACTTGATGACAGACGTATTTATTCTTCACTCTGACAGCCAAGGTTTTTTATTTTTATGAAACTCTTACACAATTGATCCAGACATATTTCTTGTGCCACTTGTTGTTGTTGTTGTATTGAACTCCTTTTTCTCGGTAGAGAAATCAATATCGGACCGTGATGTTTGTGTGTCCTCTATAGGTGAGTCATCTATTTCTAATGGGTTTTTAATTGCTCCATAAATTCAGTTGGTTAACAAATCCCCAACTGGGGTTGCTTGATGGATGGTTGCGTTGACAGAGGGGTTAACTGTCAACTCCTCTAAATCATCCAATCAGTCAGTTAATCAGACAGTATTGAGCCGCTGAATGAAGAAAGAGCAGCAGTTTTTAAATGGCCAACTAGAAAGGGATCAATGTTTTTTTATTTATTTTGTTCCTGTGGGCTCAGCACAACCTCAGAGGACCCTGATAATCCATTCATCATTACAGCGATTCATTCACAACTGACTGAGTGAGGATGGAGCCGCAACAGTTTTTGTAAATCAGCCGTCTTAAAACATGCTTTCATTCTATCACCGATTCAAACACACCGGGTGCTTGGTGTTCTAGAAACACCCAGGGGGCTAAAATGAACTCATGATTTCTTTTTACAAAGGCAAATAAAAAAGCATTTTCATGTTGACTAATCATGAGTTCCCTGCAGTTTCCGAAACCTGATGCAAAAATATCTGGTGCCAAAATGCTATAATTATCTGCGATTGCACCCCCTTGCTGCCAGACCTGAGACCGCAACTTTGGCTCGTACGTCATTAAAAATGAAAGAAGTGACATTCTAGATTGTAAAACTCTGCTTCTAATAATGACAAGCTCACATCAAGGACAAGATATGAGCGACGGCTCTGTGGACGTACGCAGGACACCTGGAAAGCAACACATGACGTTTCCCTGAACCGTACTCAGCCATGAAAATTTCCACAAAATCAAATATCAGTGAGGATGAGTCAAAATTGTTTTCTCAGAATGATGGTAATTGCACTGGGTGGGTGTTACCTGTCTGAAAGCATCGCCATCGCCCTTGCCAGCCTGCTGCGCAATGAGCATGAGCTTTTTGTTCTTTTTGTTCCTCTTGTGCACTTTGTAGAGGCAGGACAGCAGACACACCAGCAGCATGAAGGCGATCAGACACAGCATGCAGAGAATGGCCACGGTCAGGCGAGGCAGCTTGTAGGCTGAGAGCAAGACGAGGACAGGAAAGAGAAATAATAAATCTTTTCTCTAATAGCCAGGGAAGACGTCCATTCTGAATTCACTGACTTTGCTGTGCAGCTACTCATCTTTCATTACAGCCTCTTTTTGAAACAGACGTTTTCATCAGCAGGTGTGTTTGACTGGAGCAGTTACCACATAAAGACTTCCCATACAGCTTTAGATATCGAAACATCACACAATCAGATTTCAATGCACGTTAGTCATTCCTAAATATATATGGACAGCTTGACACTAGCTGAAACTTTGAAATGAAATATAAATAGTCATTTTGGATATATCTAGAATCGGTTGTTTTTAATTTATTAGTAACATTTTATTTGAATGCATGTATGTATAACTTCCAGAAGTCTCTGTCTGTCTTATTGTGGCTCACATATCTTGACAACTGTTTATCTTCACTGCTGCACACTTGCACCATGTGTATTGTTAAGAGCCCAAAGAAGCGCAGTGTGGAACTTGGTGCAGCTTCGGACATGCGATACATTGGATATGAATTAGATTTGAATAAACAGGCAGCGTGACTCCGGTCTTTTTCAGTCTTCAGTCAATTGCTAAACCGGTGATGTAACGTCATCTCATAAAAACATCAATAACTTTATCTCCTCCTGCAGGTGCTCATAAGTGGAGCCTGGTGTATTAACAGATAATAGATGACAAAATAGAGAAGTATAATTGTGATCAAGTCAAGAAAGACCATAATATGAAAGACTAAATTTGTTCGCTCATAAGCTTTGTTTGGCACATTCACAGGGTGTATCAGCCTCTTTGCATAAATACTTAATAACAGTTGTAATATCATCTCACTCACATAAACCCTTTCAAAAACACAATCTACACCTCAGAGGCACTTTGCATAGGAAATGTGTTGGCTCACAACAAAGCAACTACAGAACTAAATCCATTATAGGTATTTTTCTTACCCTCTACTTCTATATCGACCTGAGCCACAGGAAACCCGGCGAGGTCTGTCACTCTGAAGATGCCGCTGTCCGCCATTTGGACCTTCTTCATGATGAGCTCCGACCCCTCCACTGTCAGCCTGCCCTCCAGCAGAGGATCTATCGGCATCACCAGAACCCCCTGGTCCAGGATGACTCTGTCCTTATTGTCTGATTTGGGCTTGTAGACGATGTTAACGTTGGAGTGGTGCAGGTAGAGTTTCATCTTTAGGTTTTCTCCGTAGGAGAGGCGCATGAAGTTCTGGTGCTCTGTGGAGGACAATCGGAGGAAATATAAACACACGTGGGTCATTAAACTTTTTTATATTTTTTATTGGACACATATTCAGCAAAGTGAAACATGTGTTGGTCAATCTCAGCTTTATTTAATCCACCTAATTCCACAAATATCTGTGTATCCTTCTGTCTGTCTGTCTGTCCGTCTGCGGAACACATATCTCGTATATCACGTTCTATCACTCTATATACAAAAAACGAACAGTAGATACTATTTACGATATATACAAAGTTAACTGTGAGAGTGAAATAAATTCTGAAGCACAAGGAGACACTGTGGAGATCAAGTTGGATGCGAGAGTAACAGTCTGGGGTGGAAGGGAAGTGAACCGATGGGCAGTGTGGAAAGTGGAATTACGTCACACTACATCGTGCGAGTAGAGAATAACTTTTATTAAAGTTAATGTGCTCTTGATGCATTTTGGTGAAAACCATGTCTTTACAGCTGCAGCAGTTTAGTTTCCCTGCCAACTGTCCTAACCCCTAATTTAAATTAAAATAAAATAAAAACTTCAGAGATTACAGGGTTTTTGCAGGTAATTCACTCAAGAATGAAACAATGCCGTCAGTGTTTGTAGACCAACACTCACATTACAGCAGCATGTATACACCAACACACAAGACTGATAGATTAGTCACTTAAATCAGCACTCGATCACTGCTCACCTCTGACATTAAGACAGTTCCTCTTCCTGATTTTGCCCTCGTGGTCCAGTACTGTAAAGCTCCCCTCGTCCGTCATCCGGACCAAGTGCAGAGTCACCAGTTTCTCCGTCACACTCAGGCGTCCCACGTATTCGTCCGCCGACACCGCCGTCTGGTTGTACAGCACCACGGGCAGAGGCTCTGTAGTTTGCTGTATCTCGGTTTGATTGGACTGAATCAGACTGGGCCTTGTCATGGTACAAAATGTATTGAAGATGTTATACAGAGCAACCCATCAACCACCAGTGTGGTTAGCATGTCAGAGCAGGAGTTTCACATCTTAATGCTGAAAATAATAGTGATATTTATGAGTGTGTGCAATTTGGTGCGGATGAAAATCAAAATCCAGCTCTGGCGGATTCCTGGTTTAGTAAGAGAGTGGGATTTGAAGCTGCTGTTAAGAAACAAATGGGGCAAGAAACTTGTCGCTTAAACCAATTTGTGGCTGAGATGATGTGGATTCATTAGGCCTTTAACTTAAGCAACAGCTGGGCCTTGACAGAGGTATGCGCTCCACCAAGTGTAATTCCGGTTCAGTCTTTGATTTGTTTGTTCAACAGGAACCATACAGTCGAAACTTGTTCCAAAAGGGGAAGCAATGCAACAGATGTATATATTTCTTCTAACTGAAGCTGATTCGGAGCATCCGTCTCCAGCCCAACAATGTGTAATAAACATGAGTCGCTGTTGAATAGATTCTGAATCTGACTGTACCTGAACTCCAGGGTGATGGGGCCTTCGATGTGGTTAAGGCGGATGTAGAAGGTTTCTCCGTACTTCACCACTTGCTCCAAGGCGCAGTCTGAGGGGTGGTTGTATGAATCATTGTTTTATTCAGAGACTGTATCTATGTACATGTATGTAAAGACGGATGACGTGACAGCAAAAACATGTTGTTGATGGATCTAGTGAGTTTGACTTTGTTTTTGTAAGGGGTCTGTTGTGCCTTGGTGGAGGTATGAACTCCACTGACTGCTGTTCTCGTTTGTTACTGACTCACGATTGGCTGAACACGTGCATCAGCAGGAACTCGATAATTTCTTCCTTTAACAACGTATGGTGGCAGAGACCCGTCGTCCATCTTTATATACACTGTACGGTTTTAACTAATCCTGCTTCTCTGTGATGTTATATAACAAATAGGCTTTCAGTAATACACTCAGACTTACACATGGTTTTTCATGATCTCACAAATAACGTATTATTCACACCATATGTGAGTCTTGAATTTTCACGTTTCCATTGGTTTCCAAAGCAACACTCTTCAGGTAACACCTCAATAAAATACAGCCTGATGAGAAAATGAGCTTCTTATTTGTATACGTTTGATTTCTGCATTTCTCCAGAAGGGTCCATTTCAATTTCACACTTTGTCATGCTCAGCAGACAGCTTACCCCGAACGATAAGGACGAGCTGCTTGACTGTGTTGGGGTTGTTGCTGTTCTTGATGACGTACACGCCCTCGTCCTCCTCCTGTACGTCCTCTAGCACCAGGTGGCCCAGGAAGTTGAGACGGGCCCGTGGGTTCACCACCTGGCCATGTCGCATCAGATCCACATCAGAGGACTGATTGGTCCTGGGCTTGAACACGACGTCTCCAGCGTTTCCAGGCGGGACATCCATGTGAATGTCTTCCCCAAAGAACGCTGTCCTGCGTTCCTCTTTGACTGGTGCAAGCAATCAGGATATGTTCAATCAATCTGACTTTGGTTATAAAGCAATTATCCTACAAACAAAACTGAGGAAACCCAACCCCCCACCTCCCATCGAAGAGGCCTCCCCAGGCCCAACAAACCATCAGGGGTCCCAGGCATTAACGTTTAACGTCCCCATATACTGTATGATCACATAGGACAGATAATCTTTGATTTCTGATTTACTTTCTCTTAGTCATGCACTGCAAGCCCAACAGGGAGAGGTTTTACCTGTCACGGACGCTGACACAACTGCGAAAGAAAAGATAAAGAGGAGCGTATTTTAAAATACATCTTTTCTTAGTTGTCTCTTGATTTGAACAAAGACCAGGGTCCCTTTGTTCTGAGTGAAAAACCACACAACTACTCCCAGAAGCACAAAAACCTTTCAAATGTAAATGTATCACGTAACGACTGCTAAATATAGACCGGATGTAAACACAATCTGAAGCCTCGTAAGAAAAGGAAACAAAGCAAATAAGAGGAAATTAACAGATAACAAAATAAGTTTGTTTCTTTGAAGCCCTTCTCACTGTGTCTATGTTAATTGTTCAGCTGAAGCACGTTTGGTTTTGCATGAAGTCTGTTTCTGCCGTTCATTTATCTGAACTGCTCCCGGATGACTGATTATGTTTGTGCTTACCCATGCAGAACACAGCGCTCAGCACTGCAGCGCTGATTACTTTCATCCTGAATAGACGTTCTCTGCAAAAGAGAAACACATACACAATACAAAACAATTTAAATGATTGTTTCCTAAGGTACAAATAAATCAGGGTTCAAAAAGACATATTTACTAATTGCGAGAAAATAAATGAAAATGACCAATAGTTCTTTGTTTTTCTTTGAAAGAGTTTAAGTTATAAGTAAGTCAGGTAAATATGTAAAATTAGTGTTCAATTCATGTTTCATTATAATAACTACCTTGTGTTTGTTGATATCTATCGGCAGTCTGTTCATAACTTCGGATCATAATTTACAAAAGCTGCATCTCCAATTTACACCTCTTCTGGGGAAACTTTAAAGGATCTCCAGAGTTCAGTGCATGTGTTAAAGCAGCTATAGTGTTGTTTTAATGTGTAGACTAACTGAACATAAACACAGAAACAAAAATGAACATTTACCAAAATCCTGCTGATGCATTTGACTCAAAAATCTGTTTGCATCCATGAGCACTGAATCTATAGACTGTGAAAGAGAGAGCGATAAAAAAACATTTTCTGCCAGGATCTTAAGATAAGAGATTATAGTGTTATTTCTTTTTAAAAGAACAAGAAGAAAGCCCATCTACCTTCTCTCTGACACAAAGCCACTTCAAAAATGACGCCCCAACAATAAAGTGGGCAGAACAATTGCTCAAGAGGCTCTTAGTCCTCAAGCGGAAGACGGTAATCACAGCATATTCTCTAGTTGCTGCACTGTGAACCATTCGCTCCAATTATCTACAGAGCCATTAGCTTATTGCATGTGTGAGTGCTCAGGCAGCGCAAACATATGAAGCTCAGGTTTGATTCATGGGAAGAAAGAAACTACATCTGAGGAGAAAATGAGAGGCTGCTGCTGATTATATAAATATTAATCAATAGTCGAGTGTGTGTGATCGAAAGTAGTAAACTCAATGCTACAATCTTAACTCTAACGATGATAAATCAGTGTGACCTTAATACTTCATAATTAGTCCCATTGCGTGTCATTGACAAACGAACACATGAACTGTATTCACTCAGAGTAAACTGCTTTTACTAACAAGGCTACCTAAGGTTATGTAGAGGCCTATGCTAAAATGAAGGAAGGAGCTCCAAGATTCAACAATCTAATATTTTCGGTCAGCTGTCAAATTTTGAAAACATTCTTCCTCCATCTTTTGAGTTTTTATGACATAAAAATGTACTTTGCTCCTGTAGTGGCCACAAATCCGTATATATCATCTTCATGCATTTGAAGAAAAACACGGGTTTATCACAATAACAGGGAAAAGCACGACACTACAAAACTACAAAACTTGAAACAAAACTTTGTGTCAAACAACACAAACGCAGACACCACAGATTTGGATGTGATAAAAACTGAAGCGATGCAGCTGCGTTTGCTGGTGTCACTGATTTTAAAAAGCAGGTGCTGCGATTAAATGTGAGAAATCTAATAGTCGACTGTTGTCCCTGATAAAAGCATCAGCATAAGAAGCTGGATGTCTCTGCTGTCCATTGACTGAGGGCACCATGTCCATCTCAGAAGTTTAATGGGGTCACTGCCCCCCTGTCTCTCGTTATGACCAATTACACCAGTCGAGCTGTACGAGGCGAAACATTAACTGAGGTGAAACATCCAGCAGCTTCATCGTGAGAGGCGAGGAGCTTTTACATGACATCATCCCGACATCCACGGTCAGAAATATCCACCGTGGATCTTTCACTTCGATGACTCCCACCCAATAAAATCCATCTGGTCCTCAGCTCGTCACCCCCCCAATAAACGTTTCTTATCCGTTTGTGCTCACTCTCCCCTAACATAATATTGCTGGGAGATTTTAATGTACATCTGGACAACATTTCTCAAATGTAAAAAAAAAAAAAGAAGCATAGCATGCCTCCATGCTGCTCGTGTGGTGTCACCCAAGAAGCCCCGAAGTTCATATGCGGACACTCTATACCTTACATAGAACTCTCAGGTCTTCTTCTTCCATCTACCTCACTGTACCACTTGCCCGCTTGACCCCCGTGGGATCTTGAACAACACGCCTCCATCCTCCTCCTGTTACAATATCATCTCTCTCATCTTTCTGCTTCTCTCTGGCTTTTTTTTTTTTTTACGAGGTTATGTCTTCATCTCTGTTCGTCTTCTAGCAGGATTGTGCAAAAACTGCACAACTGATTTTGTTGAAACTTGATGAAAGGGAAGAACAAGGGTCAAGAAAGAACCCATTGCATTTTGGAGTGGATTCGATTGAGAGGGCAAACCCAGGAATCCAGATTTCTCACTCTGTAACATCCATATTTTCAACAATTTCCCCGGAGGCATATACTGGGTTTGTGCTGCCGTTATATAAAATAACTCTTACAGTCACGTGTCGCCCACAGTGGATATGATGGTTTGATTTCACTTTTTATTCCTGCACATCATCTTATTTCGGGGCCTCTCTAACACAGGGTGACTTCAAGATAATCTTTAACTCCACATGACCGGTGATGATATGTGGCCACTGTGACTGCACATCAGCTTCATCCCCGGTGTCAAGAATAAATACTTCTGCTTCAGACGTCATCCGTCTACAGAAAAAGCTTCAATCCTTCGCCCTGCGAGATTCCCCTCATTCATCACGTGACTGTTCATTCATTCTTTTAACCAGAGGATCGAAAGTAGTAAACTCAATGCTACAATCTTAACTCTAAAGATGATAAAATCAGTGTGACTTTAAAAGTGGGTTTCCCCCCCCACACACACACACACACACACACACTCTCCTCTTCTGCACCAGTCCCCCTCCTCTAACTCCACCTCATCTCTCTCCCTTTCTTTTCTCCCCCTCCTCACCCGTTACGCAGGCAGCTGCTGGTGCAACCAAGGGTGTGTCACCATGAATGGGGGCTATCCCGTTACAGCTGGGGATGTCCGGATGGAAGATGGAGGAAAACGAGAGGTGGGGGGGGTGGAGGAGGATGAGAGTTGAATGATGACAGAAAGAAAGAGGGTCAGTCAGACATGATGCCACGAGATGAAAAATGTGCAGGAATAAATGTGTGAACGGTTATTAATCCACTTAGTCAGCAGCTCGGATGTGTGCCAGTACATTGCGTAACCATTTCCACGGGGATGGACCAGAAAATACCCCCTTAATAAATGGGTATATCCCAAATGTATGACCTGATCCTGCACCACAGCAACATTCATAGACATTATTATTTTATCATCAACTATATCATTATGATATGGTCATATCTGTGAGCATGGTGTTTACAATAAAGATGAGAGGAAATACATTCAACCTAAAAACTGGCAGAAAAGAGGAGGCTTACAATTGAACGTCTATCCTCTATATGTCTAGTCTATACTCCTGTTTGAGGGGAATTCCTACAGTTGAACCTGTGTTACATAAACTAGGCTTTACATGTGCGGGGGCCGTTCATTGTTCTCCCCGCCGGAGGATGCTGCCCTCCAGCATCCAGCATCCCACTCTCGCCTCGTTGCCGTGGGTAACACGCCCTGAATGTGAGCATCAGAGGAGCTCCATTAAAACACAGAGAGGCAAAACTGCAGGATTTAACCCTGTGTCTCCCTGTGAGCCCAACACTGAGCACAAGAAATCCGCCTTACATGTACAAGTGTTTGATGGTGACGATCATCTTACCTTTCTCACGCCTCTGATCCGGAATGAAAAACCCTGGGAGGACTGGGAGGAGCTGAGGAGCGATGGATGCTGGAAATCACCTTTTTTTTTTTAAAAAAAGAAAAAATATAAATGTCATTAATGTCGTCCTCCTTCGTCCCCCTCACCCCGACAACAGCTCACTTCAGCGGGGGGAGCAGCTCGGGAGTTTCGGCTCATGTCGTGTTTCTGGATCCATTGGAGCTCGGCGGTGCTCGGGCCGTTTCGGTAAGACTCGTGGATTCTGGCTCTGAGCCACATGCACGAGCAATTTGCAGTTTCACCTCAGGCCATCGTGATCGTGATCGTTACGCGTGCACGGTGTCCAGTGTGCGCTGATCGATAAACCCGAAGTTCATCGATTATCGGTAATTTGATTGAGTAGATGAGGGAGAGTATCAGTGTCTCTCTGCGTCTTCACACTGTGTTGAACTGGTTTGATAAGATGAGAGAACATCTGCAGCAATTCAAAATATATAAATATTCACCAGATTACTTGGAAAAAATAGATTTTGTCCAATTCACATTATTTTCCCTGATTCGTGTATCAATGAAATAATTTACAAAAAAAATAATAATCAATAGGTTTGATACCAGAAAATATACGTAATAATACTGAAGTGGGATAATGAGAAAGCTGATCTTGCACATCTTAAGAACTACTTAACACAGGAGTGTCCTTCCTGGCTGAAGAAGTACCTGGAGCATGGGAAGAGCTCTCTGCAGAGAACAGGTATAATAATACACGTAATAATTTAATGAATTAAATGTATCATATAAATATTGATAATTAAATAAAAAATTGCCATCTGCTGTCATCATAGCCAGTCTTAGGACTAAAAGATGATTTTTTACAATAACTGTCAATGCAAGTGTATTTTTTTTTTGAATGCCTTTTTTATTTCTCCCAAAAGTTTCAGTCAGCGGAGTCGCACCTGAAATAACAGAAAAGGTACAAACACAGAATAAAGCTCAGAGAAACGTACACAGACACTTTGAACGTCGATGTAACAAACAAAAACGACCTGTGTGGTTTGAATGAACAGTGGCTCAGAGTGTAAATATACAGAATGACTACATTTTTCTATAAGATGAAATATCAAACTGAAATTTTTCTCTCAAAAGTCAAAGCGTTTTATTCTGAGATACTTTGATGAAGCTGCTAAAGTTAAGAAGCCTCAGTGTGTTATCAAATATAACGAAGCTGCAGAAACTGTGCTGAACAAGTGATTTTGGGAACTGTAAGTTTAAAAAGTGCTAGAAAACTTCTCTCCATGATTTTATATTATTCATCTCGCTGCTCCTTCTTGTCAGTTTGTTCTTCCCAAAGTTGAAAAAGTGGCATATCTTAAATATACCACTAGCAGATACTTGAATCCAACAACAGCAGCGACACTTCTGATCAGATGACTTTTCCTAAAATATCAGCTACTATGAAAAACTGTTTCACAGATGTGATGCTGCTGCTGCTCCTGCTGCTCCTGCTGGCTCCTGCTGCTGCTCCTGCTGCTGCTGCTGGCTCCTGCTGGTTCCTGCTGCTGCTGCTGCTGCTGCTGCTGCTGCTGCTGCTGCTGCTGCTGGTTCCTGCTGCTGCTGCTCCTGCTGGCTCCTGCTGCTGCTCCTCCTGCTGCTGCTGCTGCTGCTGGCTCCTGCTGCTGGCTCTTGCTGGTTCCTGCTGCTGCTCCTCCTGCTGCTGGTTCCTGCTCCTGCTGCTGCTGGTTCCTGCTGCTGCTGCTGCTGCTGGTTCCTGCTGGTTCCTGCTCCTGCTGCTGCTGCTGGTTCCTGCTGCTGCTNGCTGCTGGTTCCTGCTGCTGCTGCTGCTGCTGGTTCCTGCTGGTTCCTGCTCCTGCTGCTGCTGCTGGTTCCTGCTGCTGCTCCTCCTGCTGCTGCTGCTGCTGCTGGCTCCTGCTGCTGGCTCCTGCTGGTTCCTGCTGGTTCCTGCTGCTGGTTCCTGCTGCTGGTTCCTGCTCCTGCTGCTGGTTCCTGCTGCTGCTCCTCCTGCTGCTGCTGCTGCTGGTTCCTGCTGCTCCTGCTGCTCCTGCTGGTTCCTGCTGCTGCTGCTGGTTCCTGCTGCTCCTGCTGCTGCTGGTTCCTGCTGCTGCTACTGCTGCTGCTGGTTCCTGCTGCTGCTGCTGCTGCTGGTTCCTGCTGCTGCTGCTGCTGCTGCTGGTTCCTGCTGCTGCTGCTGCTGCTGCTGGTTCCTGCTGGTTCCTGCTGCTGCTGCTGCGAAAACATAAAAGAGGCGGACTTAACCATTAGGCAATGGACGGCAATTGCCTTGGGCCCCGAGCTACCAGGGGCCCCAATCACGGAGGTGATTCAGGATGTAAACAGAGACTGACGAGAAGCGTTGAACCCGTTCAACTAGTTCAGTTCAATTGTTCTGGTTTTTATCGGATTATTCAGATGATGATCATGTGTTTAGTTATTAATCGATGGAGTCAGATCATGAATCTGTGTCGCTCCGGTCACTTCAACACTGAGTCCTGTGTGTGTCGCCTCTCATGTTGTAATGAGCAAACTAACACAGAGTTCCTTCATACTGATCAGGTCCTGGTAACTAGTGATGAGTGTTTATTAGTTCATAAGTTAAAACTGCAGCTTCTGCTCTGATCATGAAGCAGCTGTGATCAGATGAACTTTGTGTTTCTCTGTTTCACTGAAAATGTGTTTGTGTGCGCGAACGCAGGGACAAAGAGAAATGGTAAAAAGTACATGTTGTTATTTTTTATGTTACTCCATAATTGACCTCCTATTTCCTTGTGTGTTGTCTTCTCCCTTAATTAAACAAGATATAAGACAGAGGCCTATCATCAACTTAATCAGAGATCCTGCTGAAAACCACACTTATAGACGTCAGATCTTCCGTGAGAATGGACAATATGGTTCATTCTTATTGTAAAGAGATCATATTGTTTATGAAAATAAGATTTTACTGTGAGTGCATTTGTTAAACTGTTAATATGTTTTGTTGGGTTGGGAAGAAGTTACAAGTAGAACTTTCTTTGATAAATAAGGATTGAAAACAGATGGAGAACAACATGTGCAGAGGGCCCCATGCCTGTGTTCGCCTTGGGCCCCAAATTGCTAAATCTGCCACTGCCTCTTCCTGTACACGATGAATCCAATGACAGCGAGGACGACAGCGAGAAAGACCACTGCAGCGATGATGATGATGGTGGTGGTGGTGGTCACGTCAGTGGGCTTCTCTGTTGAGTGGAATAAAAAAACAAAGCATCACAACCTGAACAGATGAAGCAGGTTAGACGACAACAATCTCCCTGAACCACAATCCTGTACAATAGACACAACAAACACACACAGACAATCAACCTGTTTCTTTGTCCGGCTGTTGTTTTTAACACTGATCTAAATTTATTGATAAAAACCGAAGAAAGAAAATGACCCAAAACCAACAGAGAGAAAACTTCTCCTGCTACACGTCAGCATACATGACCTGCAGGACTGTTAGTGGAAATGAAACGTGTGTTTCCCRSCGTCATCACTGACTCAAGTCTCACCTCTGTTGGACTCCACTGAGTCTTTGTCCAGTCTTTTGACGATGTCCTCCTTCACACCAGAGAKCTGGAACACACAGTCGTACCTCCTCCAGTCTTCAGGTGGGATTGATGAAACCTGCAGGTCAGYGCTCATCTGGAAGGTCCCGTCATGGTTGGGGAGGACCTCTCCGACGTACACGTCCTCATGAAGCTCCTCTCCGTCTTTCCTCCAGAACAACATGGCTGAGTCGGGGTAGAAACCTGTAGCGTGGCAGCTGACTGGAGAGGAGGGAGACTTCTGGAGGAGAGACATCGAGGGAAGCTCTGGGGAGAAAGAAGAAAGACAGTTTATGGGTCATTCTAATGTATTGTATACTAATAATACCATTCCTGTTTGATTCCATTGATTTAGCATCAGTCATGTCTGTTCATATACGAGACAAGTGAAGAACTGTGAGATGTGAGCGAGACAGAGGCTGAAGTGATGCAAAGACACTGGAGTGGAAAAACAGACTCTGTTGGGTCCTTAGACCGGAGCGTAGACATTTATAAAAACAAAGTTAAAATGCTCGACCTTCGCCCTCACCACCAACAGAAGTCAGAGGATTCCCTGTCAGCAGAGACTGTCTCCATGTTGGACTCAGTCTCTGCTGCTCCTCTCCCTCCTTTCTTCACTGTTCTTTTCTTGCCTGTGAGCTTCCACTGTTGCTCCTGGTTTTTCTTTTTAGACGAGGAACTTTAAGCACCTCCTCGTCTCCCTCTATGTCAATATCACTCACCTGCTGTACCTCACTTATCTCTGCCGGTCCCCCCCACACTCACCTGACTCACCTGCTGGACCTCACCTGTCCCCTCCTGTCCCCCCTCACTCACCTGCTGGACCCCACCTGTCTCCTCCTGTCCTTCCTGATTGTCAGCTGCTTTATTTTTCAGTGGACATGCTTTAATTTGGTGTCCTTCCTGTCCACAGCTGAAACACTTTGTGTTGTTTGAAGTAACAAAGATAATGTAATCAAACTCCTCCACTCTGATCTTGAACACCAGGTTCAGCTCCTCACTCCTGTTGTCCAGAATCATGTGGAGCTGTCTTATGTGCGACACCACATGCTTCAACAGAGGAGATTTACAACCAGAGGACACTTTCCTTAACTGAGACACTATCTTACCATGTCTCGATAGTTCTCTTATCAGTGTCTCATCTCGGGGGGACAAACGGGGGGACGTTCGATAAAGTGACTTTAACCACCAGCGTGGCGAGAGGCGAGAACAGAAACGAACATATCGTTCACTTCAATCCCACCATGTTCACCTTCTCTGCGATGTCTAGAAAAATGACAACCACGTTGTTCATTCTAGCAGCGGACTCAACACTGCTGTGTCCCACCACCACCCCCACTGCCAAGCTGCAGTCCTCCACCGTGCAAGGGAAGCCCGCGATCTTAATTCTGGTTAGCTTGGTGAGGTCCATAACTACGCTAACAAACCACAACCAGCTCTCAGCTCACACACACTCCACCACACTCCAGAGAGAGAGAGAGAGAGGGAGAGAGAGACAGAGCGATGATGATAGAAAGTGAACAAACTGAGTCACAGCAGGTGTCTGTGTATCTGCTCTCGTTCACTGTGATGCCACAGAGTAAGRAATGAAAGAGGAACATCATGTTCATGGAGGTTATGTGATTTCACCTGTTCTCAGCAGAGAGCTCTTCCCATGCTCCAGGTACTTCTTCAGCCAGTCAGGACACTCCTGGGTTAAGTAGTTCTTAAGATGTGCAAGATCAGCTTTCTCATTATCCCACTTCAGTTTGGTGATAACAGCCTGTGGTCTATGAGCGATCCACGTCTCTGTCTCCAGGTCCAATGATATGAAGTCTTCTCCATCATAAGCACCCTGACGATAACCTTTAACTTCTCCAGTCTCATCGTCCCATTCACAGCCGACCATCCGCTGGACAATGTGGACACCTGAGAGAGAGACAGAGATCTGAGCTGTTATTATCCTCTCTCTCTCTCTCTCTCTCTCTCACACACACACAGTTCATCTGCTCTGTTGAAGGTGATGACATCATGTGAGCAGCAGCAACAGGCCATGACTGTTTATAAAGATGGACAACACGTCTCCACTTCCTCCCACTGTCCAGGAACGAAGCCAAAATACAACAGATATGAACGCTGTCATCCAGAGCGATCGGTTATGGAGCAAAGGTACCGAGGTCTCGCTGGTACACACGCTCGACCAATCGGGAGTCAGTCTGTCAATAATAAACCCCACCCCCAGGTTTTGTATTAAAATCTATTGATCACATGTTTAATTAATTAGTAAATATTTGAGATCAAATCAAATAAATGAAAATGTGAGTGTGTGTGTGTGTTGTTATTATTATTATTATTGAAACATAAACAAACCTCCAGTCTGGTTGAAGCGTTCCTTTGCGGTTTCAATGTTGACTTTAAAGATCTGCTGATAACCCAAATAGTTCTGAGTCTCCCTCTCCCAGTAATGTGAATCTGTTGCCTTCAACATCCAGTCCTGTTTGGGTTCTGCTTTCATTGTGTTGCTGTCATAGTGAATCATCTGAACTTCATCAACATAACCAACAGACACAAACTCTGGAAAGTTTGGGACTTGAGAGGACCCAGTGTCGAAATACTTCAGAGAGTGAGTCCCTGCAAGAAAAGTTAAAGTGACTTTAGTTTTCAGAATGTTTAATAAATCACTGCACTCAGAGTCAAGAAGACATGAAGCACATTCAACACAACTTCAGCATCTCTGTTGTGTGGTTAACAAACACAAAAATACATTGAGAGATAAAACTGCTCCAGAGTCCAGACACTCTTTACTTTGAATTCTACGTCTTAAACATGGATTCAATCTAACGACTCAAAGATTTAATATGAGAAAATAATATTTTCTACTGCAGAGAATTTAATGTGAAGTGAAAACTACTTCAATTTCCAGTTACTACATGAGACATTTATTCTGAAAGTCCTCATTATCATATTCAAAATTCAGATTGTGAAATCATGAACATTTTGAACACAACATATGAGCTGTTAGTGGTTTCTCTCAGTCTATATATAAATATAGATATATATTCCTCCATATATACACATATACATTTATACTGGACCCAGCTAACAAATCAAAGTGTGACGTTGTTACAGGAAGGGCTTGACTGTGTTTTAAATGTATAGAATGTAGATTTTTT